GGTGTGGGTGTGGGGGGAAGGAGGTGATAGTGTTTGGAAGTGCAATTGTTTTCTCTTGCTCATCTTCTTGCAGCTCCCAAGGCAGACTGCAGCTCGATTCCTCCAGGGCAGAGTGGGAACCCACTGCAGATGTAAACACTTGCTGCCCTGCCCTGGAGAGTGGAGCTGCTGCTAGCAATTAAAGACAGTTAGCAGTTGTGTGTCTCTCCCCCCACCCCGGCCAGTGTAAATTCTTGCAGAGAGTAATTACTGCCCCTTCTTGCTTCCCACCCCAGAGGAAGCAGAATTTCAGCAAAGTAGCATTGTTTTTTCTGACAACTTGCAGCTCCTGTCAGTCTCTGGGAGCTCCCAAAACTAGTTTGAGAACCTCTCCTCTTGCCTTCGTAGGGAAATAAGCTTTCATTTAGAGTAGTACCAATCCTGTTCAGCAGCAAGTTCAATTCAGCCTGGTGACTTTGATCTGCTTTGTTCTGACGATCTTGTCCTATTTGTTTAGAATTGTATTTGTCTTTGTTTAGTAGGAATGGTAAATGGTAATGTTCCCTCCAGGAATTGGGTGTTGCTGTTGACATTGTTTATCACTTTGTATATTTGGCTTGTGGTAGTATCACAAGAAAACCATGCTACGTGTTTTCTACTTTTTAAAAAATTGTGAGGATTAAAAAAAAAATTATGTGCACCCATACACAAAAAAAAACACTAAAGATAAAGCAAGAACACAAAACTGATTAGTTTTTTTTTCTTTTAAAGTAAATATAGAAATAATCTGTAAATGAAGTAGGGTAGTAATTCATATGCCCCTCTTGTGGGGGCTATAGAGTTTCCTGAGATCTTTAGAGAGGAGTTGAGAAACGCAACTTATCGTTGCCAGATTTCCTCTTCCTGTGCAGACACAGCATTTGGCTGATAGGCTGTGAAGTATGTACCAGTTGTCAACATATTTTTAATTTTAGGGGTCATTCAAAAATTCCATTTCTCTGCTCTGCTGGGGAAAATTTTTATAGAGACCATTCCATGCCATAAGGATCCATCACAACAGCCTTTTCAACATTTCTGTTTAGAGTCTTTGCAAAGAGACTGCTGAAATATTTATAGCATTCTGCTTTGTGAGCCATCACGTTGCAGTAGCACAGTCTGTATATCCTGTCCACATTCCCAAAACACATGTGGTTTAGATGTCTCAATATATTTTAATACAAAGTGGCTGGTTGAGTGGCCCATGTTCCATATTCTCCCAAAGGAGCTAAAACTCACCTCATGGATCAAGAAAATATAGGGCTACAGAGACATTTTACCATTCAAGCTAGTGTGGAGAAGGGTGTTTTTAAAATGTTCTATTGACTTGAAAGAAGAAAAACCCTGGTATTTAAATTTGCACCCAAACTGGTGATTGAAAGGCTTGAAATGTCTGATTTAATGTGACAACTCTAGTTTTCCACTATTGGTCGGTGTCACAGAGATGCTCATGCACATTTAATGTGTTGGTATGGAGCTCGATGGTACCTGTTTGCAGGACTTGCTTTGAAATGAAGAGTGAGTGAGAGATCATTTATTTAATAGATAGCATTAAAGAATGAGTTTCTGATGAAGCGAGTTAGGTGTTAAACACTTTTCAGGTGAACCGTTTACTTATGTAATTATCTCTCATTTACATTATAATAAATGTTTCTCTAGGGAGTTTAGCCAATCATAAAATGCAATTAATTTTCAAATGCTCTTCAGCAACAGCTGACGCCCTGGAGACTGGAATCCCTAGTCAGCATGTATGTTTTTAAACTATCCTGCTAAAGGGAAGCTGTTTCAGCTCCTTTTCCCCAAGCAGTTAAGTTTTATTTTTGTTTAAGTGTCTCATGCGTGCCTATGGCTAGAAGTCTGGAGTGCTGGGTTTGATACCATGAGATGTTTAGGTCTGATGTCCCTCCTTAGTTTCCAGGGCATTAAAGAGATTCAGAGTGCTGCTCTTCAAATTAGGCCCAGGAGACTCTGGGTCACTTAGGGAAGATGCAGAAGTTGAAGGGCTCTTGGACTCTGTTGCTGACTCTGGTTGTTTGTTCTGTGATGTTGGATAGGGCACTTAGCCTGTTTTGCAGTTTCTCTCTGAGTAAAATGAGAGCAGTGCAAGGCTCACCTCCATAACATGTACATGGAGGTGTATGGAGGGAAAGGCCCAGTAGGCAACTGTATGATACCTGTGGAAAGCAGCCTAAGGATCATGCTGCTTAAGTTTGCTTAATTCACTTTCTAACCTAAATGTTGATACAGTCACTTTTGCTTTAAGTCTTATTAGTGTATTGATAAGATAAAATGTTCTGTAGAATTTCATCTTGTAGAACTGTGCTAGCTCCAACAGCATGGAAGGCTCTTCAGCATGGATTGATGTTATGATGGCATTCGGTTCTCTGATGAATAGTTGCTGTGGTTGGAGTACAGCTCTCCATTTGAATGTATGTAGCTTCTTTAAAATGAAAAGAAAGTGATGTTGTTAGCCCTTACCTATTCCAAAGAGACCTGTTTCTGAATGTGGGTTAGCGTTTTTGTGATGTTAGGCATTAGGCCTCAATGCAGGTACTATTGCAGCAGCACTAGATTGCAGAGGACAGATGGACCTGCGTTGAATGAGGCTTAGAGCCGGCCATGGAAGCTCTCCAAGCCCTGAGCATTCGCAGAGCCGGTGCCAGGCAGTGGAACCTGTGAGTCCCATGTATTTGAAGGCTAAACGCTTTCATCCATCCGCACTTGCAAAAATCCCGTGTAGGAAAGCTCTTGCCGGTGAGATTCTCTCCTCGGAGCAAGCAAACAAAACCACTTTGGTTGAACTCGTGTATTTTCCGGAGGCTTTCTCTTCAGCCAGGGGTAAAGAGGAAAGGCTGTTTTATTTACAGATATTGTTTTCGGACAGAGTCTAGGATGATGATGTTATCTGTAAATGCATCTTCAGGCATCAGACATCCTTCCATTTATTTAGAAACAAGATAGAAAGGTCCTCTGATACTGGAGTGAATACCTGACAAATTCCTCTATTCCATTTTATTGCCTTGGAGTATGTATACAGAGCTCAAAATTATTCCATATCTGCTATTATATCATCCTGTTGCTTCCAGCAGAGCACCAGCACTTTTATTGTGACTGACAAATGTTGTTATTCACTATTTAAACCTACCTCTAAACATAAAAGACCAGAGTGTGATTTGCTATGAGAGGCAGTTACCACACATCTGCCTGCTTGGGACCTTCTGTGTTGCTCTTGGAGCTGTCTCCGAGAAGATCTAACCCTGTGGGATATGGGTCTGATCTTTTCAAAGTGTTTGTGTGTTCCCTAGATATAGGGCGACTGGTGGGTTGTAGGCAACGTGGATTTTGTAAGCACCTATAGCGATCTGCCTGTGATCTCAGTATATCGGTCTGAATCATTTTGTAATCCTCTACAATCTGGGTTTAGAGACTGTTATTAGTGTCACAAATAAAAGCTTGTGACTTCTTTAGTTCTCAGGATTAAAAAAAATATACATTTCAGAGAATGACATCAAGCCGTTTTTGGTAAAATAGAAAGCAAACATCTGGGATCTGAGGGTAGTTATCTCACTTTTCAAGATTGAGTCCTGAAGTCAGAAGATTGCAGGAGAGAATGGGTTAGTTGAATGAGAAACAAAGATTAAACCGTGGGGGCAAGGGGGTGAAAGAACAGATTTTAAAATCTTTTCTCTTTCAGTAACTTGAAACATGGCAAAGGTAACATGGCTACACAGAAGTGTGTGTTTTGTGTGTGTGTTTGTGTGTGTGTGGGGGGGTTGTTTGTTTGTTTTTAAACCTAAACCTCTTTAAGGGAAGAAAAACCCTTTTCCCCCATGTGTCTTCTAAATGGTGGTGGACCTCCAACTCTCGTTTTATCTATTTCTGTTTTCTCACAAGCTCACTAAGCTTGTGATGGCCTGATTTGAAATGATATTGAAAAACACAGTAGAAAATGATTTTAGCTGCCTTTGGCCCTGATGTTTGGGTGAACTGGCCTGGTAACTGATAACTTCCCCTTGCAGAAAACCAGCACCTTCCAGTCTCTGTTACTGAGAGTGAAAGCAGAGGCTGGTGTGGGAAGGGCAGCACGCATCTCTGGTGGGTGCAGCTTGGTTTGGCGGGGGGGTCTGCTGGGGGATTGGCTATTGCTTCTGACCAACGTCCTGGTCCTAATCCCTTCTCTTGGATCTCTGCCTGCAGTTACCTGAAGGAGTTTCGCACGGAGCAGTGCCCTCTCTTCGTGCAGCACAAGTGCACTCAGCACCGGCCCTACACTTGCTTCCACTGGCACTTTGTCAACCAGCGTCGTCGCAGATCTATCCGCCGTCGGGATGGTACATTTAACTACAGCCCTGACATCTACTGTACCAAGTACGATGAGACCACAGGAATCTGCCCAGAAGGAGATGAGTAAGTGAAGAGCGCGCCCTGCTTTTCAGGCGTTCAGCTTTTGGGATCAGTCCAGGTGATGATTCCAGCCGGTTCTTGTAGCGATGAGGCAAGTCAGCAGTAAAGCAGCTTTGTAACATAAGTAACGTAAGAACAGATGTAAAAGCTGTAACAGCAACTCGTGTTTTCTAAGCCTGCTGTGGAGAGGGTACTGAGATTGACAAAGATGGGAATTCAGCTCTCGCATCTTTGTGTCCTCTTGAGCCTTGGCATCTTCAGCAAAGTTGGGGTGTGACAAACAGCTTACTGATAAATGCACTGAGAAGGGCTCCCTTCTCGTGAGTCTGACCATCAAATAACAGCTCTTGCTCACTAGCAGTGTAGCTTGGTTTTGAGCCGATTGCTGAGGGGGGAAGCTTTGTCCTCTAATCTGTCCCCTGAGTTACCTATCACCTGCTTTTTAGATCATGTTGGTTATTTCCCGTTTATTTTGTCATTTCCCTCCTCGCTTCTTTAAAGCTCGGGAAGGCAGATACCCAGAATAAGGCAACATGGGAAGAGCTTGTTTTGCTGCGTCTTTCCTCCCCGAGATTGTGATGAGTTTAACTACAGCAGAGATGCACATGTTTCTGCCATGTGTGTGACAGATGCCAGCAATTAGGGGGTTAACCCAGTAATATAACTTGACCCACGTGACAGACACAGAAGAATAAATAGTGTAACCAAACCATGGTCAAATACAGAGACAGTTTTATATAGAGATGCTATAGAAGGATGGAATTTCAGTTCCCTTTCATGGTGCCAGTATGAACACACACAGAAAACAGCTATTTATCTGGGAAACAGTGTTGGTGTGTGTATTTTGTGTGGTGGTGGGGTGTTTTTTTTTTTTTTTTGGTTGATAACTAAAGATTTTGTGGCAACAGCAGAATGGAATAATCCCCCAGCCTAAGGCCTCTGTTTCTTTCTTTCTTTCTCAATAAGAGAGAACTGGAAGGGACCGGAAGTGGGACATTTGGGGACTTTGGCTTCTAGACCACTTGTTCATATTTAGCTCAAACTCAGTCATTGAAGACTGTTGCTATGTCAGAACTTCTTTACTGATTTATATTTTTAGCTTAACGCTGAACTCCACCTATTCTTGTTCTTTTATATTTCTCAGTGTAGATTGTTCTTCCTCTGCCTAAGAGGGAAAACAGAACATCAGTTAAAATGGTAGTGTTGTAATTCTCCTTTCTTGTCCCATGCTCTGCATAAAGGATGCATCTGGCTATAGATAGACTGTCACAGCCCCCTGTAAGAGTACATCAGCAGGAAACAGTAACAGCACGAAGTCTAGATGGGCTGCTGAGGAAATGGTATGTGCCATGTGATGTCCCCTCAATCATGGCTAGTATATCGGAACGCCTTGACAGTGTCCTTGCTCTTGTCCAGATCCCTGGCAGTCACTAGACTAGAATAATAAGCTGCTGCTGGCTTAACCACCCAGTTGTCTGTTTAGGAGGGAAACTATTATATAGTAGGCAGTGACAGGTTTAGGGGCTCTGTGTGATGCTGGAAGGCACAGTGTAAGAGAAGGGGCGGAGCTGGCAAACATATTGCCAGCCACAGCATCTTGTATCAGCAATGCGCTTTCTGGTAGCGTCTAGTCTGCCACCCGCGTGACTTAACTTTGTTCTTCCCCTTCTTCTGACTCAGGTGTCCATTCTTGCACAGAACTACTGGGGACACGGAGAGGAGATATCACTTGCGCTACTACAAAACTGGAATCTGCATTCATGAGACGGACTCCAAGGGAAACTGTACAAAGAATGGAGTCCACTGCGCCTTTGCTCACGGGCCCCATGACCTACGCTCTCCGGTTTATGACATCAGGTTAGCAAATGTCAGGGCTCTGTGTGGAAAGGGTAATTGCTTTGCTCCAATAGAAAGTCAGGTGACTGGAGGACAGTACCTCTTCAAAGTGAAATGCTTAGTGTCAGAGAGATGACAATATATCCCTTCCTGACGAAGCAAATGTACAAAAGCTCCAAGGAGATACTCAAAAGGTGGGGGAGGGAGCCACACCTTAGACTAGTTGTACTGTGGCTGGGAGCCTGGTGGAGTTGAAATAACGCATGTAGAATTCCCAGGGAAGGAAAAGCATGTATTGCAGTTGCTGCTTGAATAAGGATGTTTTTGCAAGAAAGCATGAACGAAATGCACTCACTTAGGAATTGTTACAGCACTCCAGTCTGTCAGAGTTTTTGTATGTATTTCTGTCTCTTCATCTGCTCTCTCTTGTTCGTTTGATTCTGTCCACTAAGGGAGCTTCAGGCCATGGAGGCTTTGCAGAATGGTCAGACTACATCAGAAGGTGGCATAGAGGGCCAGTCTGCAGTTGCTGCTAGCCATGCAATGATAGAGAAAATACTTGGTGAGGAGCCAAGGTGGCAAGGTTAGTCCCTTAAGGTCTGCAAGGCTGGGGAGGTCTGGTGTTCATGCAGTGCTCGCTAATAAATACAGACCATAGTGATCTCTCGCTAACCAGCTGCTTCTTTCACAGATACAACCTACGTGTTGGGAAATTACAAGACGGAGCAATGTAAGAAACCCCCCCGTCTCTGTCGCCAGGGTTATGCCTGTCCCTACTACCACAATAGCAAAGATAGAAGAAGAAGCCCAAGAAAACACAAGTACAGGTACCCTGCTCCTGGGTCCTCTATTTCCCAGCTGAGTGGTGAGGTGTAGTAGAGCTCTGTATGGAAGGATCTAATATTTGCTCCTCTAGATGGTTTTTAGTGTGTCTTTAAGGCCTGTACTGACAGACCTGATGGACTGTTAATTCTGCTTAGGACCTGGGATAACACACTAAGCTGGGAGTTTTGCATTATAGAAGAACCAATATATCTAACTATGCTACTGAATCATGTTACATCTCTGGTTTTGTGGTGATGTTATAAACTCCTATTTAAAAAAAAAGAAAGAAAAGGTACAGGAAAAAGAAAACAAAAGGAGGATTGAATCCCCATCTAGAAACAAACTCACACAGCAATGATTTCCTGGGTAAAGGACTCGGAAGCATCAAGCTGTTTGTTGTGTGTGCCTGGTGATGGGGACTGTGAGGCACAGTGTGACGAGTACTATAGATGGACATGCATTCTTAACCAACTGCTAAAGACTGCTTTTGAGGCACCAGGGTGTTCTCATCACTCAGCTGTCGCTGGATTTTTCAACATGCTGCTTCTCCCTGAACGCACTCTGTCCCAGTTATAGGCCCTCATTTCCTCCAACACAACAGCGCTTTTGTTGCTGTCTCAGTGGGGCTTTTCCTTAGTTCCTTTTTGAAAAACATAAGAGCAGACCAGAAAGCCAGGACAGAAAATGCCATGGATGTTCTCACTTCCCTTCCCCACCCCCAGCATTTGCAGAAATTTCTGAATCAGTGCTGAAATCCTGTAAAAATCAGAGAAACATTAATCCCAACACCATCAGTAGAAACAGAGACTCCAAGCCAGTCCTTAGGCAACAGCCATCTGCTTTCTGCCCCTCACTGGGCCCTTTGAGGAGGGAAGAGGTGAAGGCTTCTCGCCTTAGGATCTCTGCTCACTTCTGTGTTGCTTTTCCCCACCCCCAGCTGATGTGGCTGCCTCTTCAATGTGGGCTTCTGCTGCTGCTATCTGCTTCCCTCTGCTGTTGTTTGAGGGAATGGGTGAGAGCATAAAGAGCAGGGAAGTAGGTCACAGCAAAAATTCAGACCTGGGAAACGGAACTGGTTCCCAGCTGGGAGAAAGGAAATGGGTTTGCCTTTTCCCCAGTGACCTGACTCAGCCTCTTTTCTGCATGGCCACGCTATAACCCTGGAAACGTACCAGTAGAAGGGTATTATGTGTTTCAAGATTAGCCAATTAACTTACTAGCTCTCTACGACTGTAGAGTTCCAAAACGAAACAGACCCAGCATCGCTGACACTAATCACATCAGCTGCTAACATGGTTAAGTTATGGTGGTTCAAGTTGTGTTCTGTTTCAGATGGAGAGTTAAACCATGTTTCTCTCCCTCATTAAGAAACTGGAGGAGGGGGAAGAAGATGCAGTAGTAGCAGGGTAGGGGGCTGGGGGAGCAGCAGCTGGGCAAATGAGTGCACAGCAGAGTGGGAGCAGCTGAACCTGTCTCCCAACTGAGGTAGCAAAGCCCAAAATGTGTGTCTGATGCATACCACTGCTACCTATTTAAACAGATCTTCACCGTGTCCCAGTGTGAAACATGGAGATGAGTGGGGAGATCCCAGTAAGTGTGAGAATGGAGACTCATGCCAGTACTGCCACACTCGCACAGAGCAGCAGTTCCACCCAGAGGTACGGTACCTGTGTGGTCTGTTTGGTAGCTGACTGGAAAAGCAAAAGCATTCCAGGCTTATGAGATACATTTATGTGCCAACTAGGAGAATATGTTGGCTGCTTGCAATATGGTCCTGGGATACAGAGAAACTGCATGTTGGAAGTAACTGGAACTGAGCTGCTTGACAGGGTGCCTTTTCATTAGGTAGAACTTATGGGAGGAGGTAAGAAAAGTATGTGTGTGGGGGGAAATAGTTGTAAGAGAGCGGACTCACGTGTGGGGATCTTCTAAAAGCAGGGAGTGGGTCTGCAGAGAAGCATACAACATCTGTTTCCGTCAAAAACATTCTTAGTTGATGAGAATTGCACTAAGCCACAGATAATGCATGAGCTGGTGCTAAAAATTGCCAAGCCGCTAATGCGGGCAGGCCTGGAGCATTCTGGTATCCTTACAGAAAGTGTAATTAAGACTTTGTCCCAGCCTGCTCCATGTTTCAGTATTGAAAAGTTCTTTTGGGCCTGTATTGGCCAAGTAACCATAGTCCCCGCCTGTCAAACTGGGTGGAAGGGGAATAATCCATTTCCTGCAATCGCTGTCAACGGTTTATCACTACCGTTGCAGACACGTGGCTGTAGCTTTCTGTGCTGTCATCTGTCAACTGTTTCCTACCTTCAACCATTTTTATATCCATGGAGCTCCTAGGGTGATTGAGGGACTTGATGGCAAATGGTGATTTTGGGTGAGCGTACCCTGTGGTGGGGTGATCTTTGGGTAAGCTTAGCTGTGTTGGGCAAATTTTGCTGTTTTCGTAACTATTGTGGGTTTTCCTTTCTTTAAAGCAAAGCACTGAAATGGTCACCCTGAAATCTACTGGCCTCTGTGCCTTTTGTCTGTCTTTCTATCTTGCTGTTGAATCTCTTCTCAGTAGTCTAATAGTTGGGCTGCTGGTCACTATTTTTCCTGTTCATGTCCGTTATTTTTTTTCCCATCCTCAGATCTACAAATCCACCAAGTGCAATGATATGCAGCAGTCTGGAAGCTGTCCCCGAGGACCCTTCTGTGCTTTTGCACATGTAGAACGTACGTGGGCTGCTTCTCTCATCTTTCGGGGTTGTTTGAGCTATGGAGGGCTTCTGGCTGGAGTGGAAAGGTTGAAAGAGAGGGCACAAAGCTGGAGCTTTCATGATACCTGGTTTCTTGAAAACCCTTCAACTTTGATTATTCCTATAAAACTGCTATTTTGGGAGGTGTTATCAGAGCTGAAGGCAGTAGAAGTCTTGTAGGGCTCAGCCACTAGCTCTCGTTGCATTGTCTCTTGAAGCATCTCTCCCTCTGAGTCTCGCTCGCTCAGCTCTCTGTCAAGTCAGCTTGGAGGACTATGGAACAGAATGAGAGCTGCTTCTGTATGCACTTGAACTGTGCCATAGTGAAGTTGCAAAATGTTGTCTTATAAAAAGCTGAAGATAAAATTGCTAACTACTACAGATAAGGTGTTCATCTGTTTTTAAAATAAAATATTACTTTACTGTTTTTGATGTCTTGCTTAGAGCTTAAATCTTTAAGACGGTTAGAGAAGAAAAACATGCTGGTTCTTTGTCTACTTTTCCTCAAATCTTCATTCCCTTTTCACTAGCTGACTGATTTATAGGGTGTTATTTCAGTCTTCGTTTTCGTTATTGTAAACTAGTGATGCTGTTTTATCATGAGAGTTCTGTATTCAGGTGTATGTTACCATTTATAGATAATGGTTAGCTCCCAATCCTCCTACTGCTCCTACTCAGTTTCTGCACTCCAGTCTCACAGTTGAATTTGCAGTAATTAGAGCAGGTTAGTTGTAAGTCAATAGATGGGCTCTGATACTGACTCACTTCATGGCCTTGAGCAAATCTCACTGTTGTTTTGATTATCCTTTGTAAATGGTGGGATTAGTAATTGCTGCCTTTGTCAAGGAATGGTGAGAGTAAATTCACCACCGTTTACAGAGCTGCTTTCATAGGAAACCTTGCAGTCAAGCAGTAATTACAGCTAGGGCTGTGGGCTATAATGCCCAAAACACAATAGTGCAACTTCGCTGTATGATCCAGCAGGCTTAAGAGAGAATGAGACCTTAATAAAGAAATGATGTTCAACAAACTCCCTTGTATATAACATAGTATTTTTACTTAGGAGATACTTTATTCATAACCAGAGTACTGCACTTGATACTGTATTTCTTTAAAGCCATAGTAACATTCAGTGGCCACTTAGTATTTCATCATGGTTATTTCTTGTGGCTCTCTACAGACCCCTGTTTTCTAGTCCTCTTCCCAAGGTGAACGCTGAGGACCTAATTGACTTAAAGTAACAGAAGTCCATTTATTTTGTATGATCGCAGCATGAATTTTGCTAATTATTAACAAGAAATGTATAGAAGTTTAAAACTGTAAGCAGTGCTTTTAAGATATTGCAAAATAGGCATGGGGTTTGTGCTGTAGCTTTTGTAAAGATGATGAGTTGTATTAGATGTAAATAGTACAGCCCTACAGCATTTCAACTCCCCCCTCCAAGCCCACGACATTTTCTTTTTGTGTATTTGGCAGTTGTATGCCTTTCTGTGTATGTTACTTTTTCTGTAATGGTTTGTACTGAGAGCAGATGGGTGTGTTTAATTAGCTGAGGAAGCTGAGTTTCCATCAGCTTTGTGCCTAGCAAAGAAGGAAGCTCTGCTTAGTTCAGGACAGCTGAATGAATAACACGCAATTCGCTCAGGAAAGATAATTTTGGAGCAGCATTAACGGGCTGAAGAGCAGCAGACTGTACAAGTGGTGACAGTAATAACGTGAGGAATATTAGATAAGAAGTATTCATTTGCCAGATACGATTTCTCCTTGATTTTTATATTACTTATGAGTAGGCATTAGTGGAATATTCCTTCTCTCAAGAGTGTGTAGCTATTCTTGTTCCTAAACGTCTTGTAGTCCATTGCAGTTGTACAGCTTTCAACGATGTTTGATGTGCTATTATTTCTTCCAGAGCCTCCTCTCAATGAAGATTTACAGCAATCCTCGGCTGTGTCCAGCCCAACACAGACAGGCCCTGTGATGTATATGCCATCAGCAGCTGGTGATTCCGTTCCAGTCAGCCCTTCCAGTCCACATGCCCCAGACCTGAGCAATGTATGTAGCACTGCAGGGAAGCCTTGTCCCTACTTTATAAATCTGCATTTCTCTGAGTCACTGTATTTCTTCTACCCAAAAAGAGAAAGCTAAGTATCAAAAGCACGAAGGATTTGACTTCCTTTTAAGTCTCAGCTCCATACTTCTTAGAGGGGTCTATTTGTTTGGAACATAGTATTCGGTAGTTTTAATCCTAGATGCTCTCCCCTCACCTTTACAATCTCTAAGCCTTCCTTTCTGTGCAAAATTAGTTAATATCCTTTCAGGAAAATGGAATGCACTTGTACATCTAGTCCAGCTCCTTCTTGTCTAGAAGTACATACTGGGCTCAGTTTCCAAGTACTCTCATTAAAGGCCATGAGCCAGTGTAATCTAAAGTACATAACGACAATTGAATTTGTTTACATATGTAATCTCAGAGGCTTAGCCTGTGCATATTGTGTGTGGCATTGTAGGATATCCTTGATCCTCTCCCTGTCCTCTTTCTGGAGATGGCTGAAGTCTGCAATATGTTTTTTGAAGTAATGCCCCAAAGTGTTAGTAGGTACTTTATTTTAGTTGTATGAACAAAAGAGATTTTGAACTAGTAAACAGACACACACAGATTAGATGCATGTGGAATGCTAGACCTCTGAATTTTTGCCTAGTTTTATGTTCATTAAGTTTGAGTCCTTTCTTATTTGCCCTGTTGCTAAGGTGCGTGTCCTTTCCAAATGGTTGGTTGAGATGTTGAGAAAATAAAATGACATGTGCTTAACTCATTTGAAACTGGTCTGGATGAGGTGAACTCATTTAGGATTTCCATGTTATCCTATGACCTCCCTTTGAAAAGGAAAACTGATATTTTGACTTCATTAATACCAAAGCCAGCCTACCAGTTAATAGTTCCCCTGGATTTGATTGCAGCCTGAATTCTTAATAGATCTTGAAAAGACCGGACATGTTATTTTCTCTCAATAAATAACACTGTGGAATGAAGTAAAAAGAAAACCCCTTCATCTTATGAATGTGTCATCTAAATGCTCTGAAAGTTGCAAGGAAACTGAAGATCTTTTGCACTTACTAGATCATGTAGGTTTTCTCTCCCTCAAGCTCTTCAATCTTTTAAACAGTCCTTCCTAATTTTTGAATATAAGCCAAATGGCAACACATGTCTTTCTGTGATTTCATCACTGCACAGGGCATCTGCATGTAACTTGCAAACAAATATGGCTTTGCTGGTGATCATTTTACGTGATTGATTAATCAAAGGAAAAGGTCCCTCTGGCAGCAAGCCTCACATGGCCTGTTCTATTTTGTATTTGTACTGTAGGTGTGGAATAAAACAGGAACTCTGCCAACTAGCCCCACCTCCACCACAGTGAGTAGTAACTCCGCAACTGGGAAGCGCGGACAGCAGAATGTCTGTATGAAAATAAAATCAAAACAGTGTAGGGTGCTCCCAGCATGCTCCCTCTTTCTAATGCCAGACCAGACTGTGCTATATTTGAATCTGTCGTAGCAGTAACTGTATAAATGTTGTTTGAAGCACAGTCAGTCTTGCCAGTACAAGCAAATAATTTCCCATCCCAAGGAAATGGGATATCACTTTGATGCGGCTAGGTTCTTTCTTTAAAACTCGCCTTAAATCTCCTTTGCTGCTGTCTGTGGCTTCAGCTACAGTGCAAAACTGGCCTTGTTGCACGTGGTTGTGATCCCTGGTTATGATCCAAAGAATAGAACTGTTCAAATCCTTGGGTGTGTGGGTGTGTTTTTATTTTGTAATGCAGTTGTAGATACTTAGCTGTGCCTGCGTTAAAGCTTTCAGATTTCCAACTCCAAAGCAAAAAAGTACAGTATTACATGTAGCTCAGATATGCTTGGTGGTTCTGACTGCCGTGACACCTTTTCAGGTTTCACACTGCTCCTCCTCTGAGTGCAAACAAGGATCCATATCATGCTCTAGCCTAAGGAAAGTGAGGAGAGTTTTGGTCAGGTTTGGGAACTTGATCAGTCACCTCTGAGACCTCAGAAAGAGGAAATGTCTCTAGAACTGCAGTTTGGCTTTTGTAAGTCTGCACTCAAGTGCAAAGCAATGATAATAAAGCCATCACTGTGGAACTGCATAAATCCCATATCTTCTGCTGTTTTTCCTGTTTTTTTAAAAAATTGCTGTTTACTAGAAGCTTGTACACTTGTGTTGACTATCGGTAAAATCAATGTTCAAACAGTGAAGTGAATGAGCTAGTCCCTGGGACGCTTCCCCTCTTTGAGTTGGTGCTACTGTCTCTCTGCACTTTCCTGACCCTTGTTCCTTCTATTAGATTCTTTGTAGGAACAGCAGTCTCGGAAGCCCATCTAATATATGTGGGTCTCCTCCTGGCGCCATTGGAAAACCACACAGCTTGGAGAGCATTGGTTTTCCTCCAGACTCAGTAACAGCAGCTGGCAGCTACAAGAAAGCACCTGGGTTTGAGCGAGAAGATCAGGTGGGGGCCGAGTATTTGAAGAGTTTCAAATGCCAGGTTAGTAGGGAACGTTGGCTGGAGGAGTCGGAGGGGGGAGGAGGAAGACTGAGAAAATGTCCAGTCTAACTTGAATGTATCTCCACTTTTCAGGGGACAAAGGGAGAAAGCACTACTTTCATTTGCAGTTCTCAGATCTATGCTGTTGCTTTCAGCCTCCTGTAGTCTGTTCCATCTTGCATCTGTTCTTGTCTGTCTAGATGCTATATCACACAGTCTGTTTGTAAAAGTTGAGCTGCTTCTCTCCTTCCTCCCTCCCCACTTCCTGACCTCTTCTGTCTCGACCCTGGGTCGCTTCCCACATATTGCTTCTTGCTCTTTCTTTTTCCATGTTCATGTCCTTGCCAAGAGTTGCTGGGTTTTTTGCTGTATTGTGTCATGGAAACTCATCCTTCCCTATCTGTTCTCACGCCGAACTCTTACCTTGATCTCCGTGACTTTAGTTTGTCTTCTGTTTTCGCCATTCATTTCTCCAGTGTGTTAAAAATGCGATGTTAGTTGTCTCTTGCTTCTCCAACTGTATCACTCAGCAACTTGAATCTCTCCCTTGACTTCTGTATTAAATTTAAATTTCTTATTTGAAGAACTTTCTGTAATCTTATCCAACCTACATCTCTGATGGCATTCCCTCTTATCCCTTCTGGATGTCCCAGTCATCTTGCCTTACGGATTCCTCAGTCTTCTCCTTCTCACTGTCATGTCTTATTCAAACTACTCCCTAAGCCAAGAGCAATCTCTTCTGATTCTTCTGCTACAGTGATAACTTTTTGTGGCTATCCTTTCTTGATGTTAGAGCCAGTAGTTTCTCTATACCATCCCCTCCAAGTCAACTGTGTCCAAACTAGAGTTTGAGTCCCCATTGTTAATTCTAAATAGGTTTGTAAATGTAATAGATCTTTTTTTTTTAAAGAACTTGTTGGAAATATTTTTGCAGGCACCTCTTTATAAAAAAGAATTGAGTTGTTGTTCTATGTTGCTGAAAATGGAGTTGGCCAGAAACGTTGCTTGCAACTTGGCTTCATTTAAACTCCTGTCTGTAATATTAAAGAAGCTAGCCTTATTAAGCTTATGCTGCTGTATTTGTATTGCACTGCTGTGGGAAAACAGTGGAAATATCCTGTCCAGACAAGATCTCGCAGAAAGTGGTTGGGTTTAGAAGCAGATGTTGTGGGTTTTGTTTTATTTATTTATTTTTACAACTTTGGGAAGATACCGCGCTCAAACTTTGCAGTAGGACCAGTCTTGAACACTGTTTGGCCTAATTAAAATGGTTTAGTGACAGATAAAGATTAAGCTATATAGGCTAGTATGTAGGCTTCTTATAAATACTTCTATTGTTTTGCTTAACGTGGATGTGGCTTAGGAAATTACAAATTGATGCAGCATGTCCTTGCGGGAAAAGTGCAAACCATGCTGTGATCCTGGCACTTCTGGCAGGCACAGCAGTTTGTAGCAGTTCTTTAGAAACAAAAGAAAAACATGTGCTCGTCCTCTGCCCGCGCCGCAAAGCAGGAGCGAACTCAAAGCTGAGAGAAGCCCTGTTTCCTGCCAGCAGAGGCAGGGTGCCAGGGAGGCCCTGCTTTGGAGAAAATGGGCAGCAAGCCTAAGCCAAGGAGAAAGGGGATGGAGCGTGAATAGGGCTTTTAAAAGGAGGGCCAGATGATGAGCGTTTATGTCTCGGGTTGAGGCTGTGCTACAAAGATACCGTGTTCAGGTATCTTCTTACTCTTGTGCCTTTTAATTAAGTAAAAGAGACTGTGTTAAATGACTGGGATAAATAGCTATTAAGATACAGACAGGTGTAATCACAATTGCCTTGTGCTAGGCTTCAAAGTAAAAAATTAGGTGTTTAATAAGTGACCTGATTTGATTTATTTATTTATTTTTAAATCTATAATTACTTTTTATCTTCTTTAATTCCCTTTGGCTGCAGTGGGCACCAGAGATTCTTATATACGCTCTAAATTAGACCAATAATTAGGCAGCTTGCTTCAGCCACTCATTTGAAAATGTAGGAGAGACTCTCACTCCTGCTCAGCTCTGTAATACAGTTATAAAGTTTCCTTGATAGAATTAATACAAATGGCTTCTATCTTATTAGAATGGAAGGTGTACCTTTTGTGCTAACTGGTTCCACATAGGTTTGATAAAGCTGAGCTAGCAGTTAAGGCTAAAAATATTTTTTTGAAGTCTCAAAAGTTGTAGCAAGGTAGAAAAAATTCTAGCTGCACTGAGAGCCCTGACCAGAAGGTGTTCCCAAGTCTATACATAGAATACACTAGGTTTGTCCCGTACTGGTCATACAATATTTAGTTTCATCCATAATGTATACCTTCTTTTTTCTTCCCCTGACTGCAGCAGGGTGAGTTGGAGAATTTTGGTGTACGCTTTGAATTTGTGTTGATGCATGCGCTTTTTAATGTTGTTCAGAGCTAAAGGAGACTGACTTAGAGGGGTCAATCAGTTTGTTCCTTTTTACACTGAGATTACATGCATTTTGGGACTAGCTCAGAACTGGGGGTTTTTTGTTTGGCTTGGGTTTTTTTCCCCCTTCCCCTCTTTTTATGGCTTTCAGCAAGGCTTAGCTGCACCAGTGCCAGCTACATTGGCAGGGAGCCTCTCGGGGGTGGGGGGGGGGGGGGGGGGGATGTGCCTCCGCTTTAGCTGCTGACGTCTGATAGCACATCTTGTGTTCAGATGAGTGTCGAACACGATAGGGATATGTTGGATAATCTAGCAGGCATGTTATCAGACACACACAGATGCACTCATGTAGCACATCTATTGCACACAAAAAGAGGCAAGCCTGTGATCAGTAGTAGGTCTGCTGCATGTACACATACTGTGCCGTGTTCGGGGAAGTACGGGTAAGTGGTACTTGCTGCAGAAGGATCTCGGCATCTGTATCTCACCTGCCTATTTGCCTTGCCCCCGCTCCTTTCAGTCTCCCCAAAAGCACGCAGTTAAACTGAGAAAATGATTTAATGAAGTAAAACAAAGGATGAATTCTGCTGCTGCTCCTTCGCCTGTCTGGATATGTGGTCCCTCTTCAGCAATCATTTGTCATTTTTATAAGACAGTTTAAGCCAAGAAGTCAAGGCCTATCACTTCAGGTCAGTGCTGCGTCTCATGTGCTGCTGTTGTACATCGGGCCTGATCTCCCCTGCCAATACAGTGACTGTCCGTGTTTGCGATGAAGTAACTGAGCAGACCTTTTACGCCTGGACTGTTGCTCTGAGTCAGATGGGGTGGGTGCAAGGAGGGGAGTAAACAAGCAGACCTGACTCATGGCAGGTGTTTGCCCCCTTTTTGTGCCTGGAGGGGGTGATTGATCTCCCCTTGCGGCTGTCTCAGATGCAGTAGCAGGGGAGAAACAAGGCCTTCAGAACAGACCGTTGCACAGTGACAAGCTCATGAGGCCGCTTCCTTCCCAACTCTGGTTCCTGTAGCTGAGAACTGGCTGATGTCTTGAAGCAAGAAGACTGAAATCCATTACGGGCATAGTACAGAAAGGTCCTTAAGCTTTACTGTTATGCTGGGTAGTGGAACTCTAAACATGTGTCGGTATTTGTGCAGTTTTGAAATCCCGGGCAGCCTTGACCTCACTTATGCTTTATAGCTTTGAGCCCTCCAGGTTAAGGGATGAGGGGAGGGATTTTCTTTTTGAAATAATTTTGATGTCGCTTTTAAAATCGGTTAGTTATCGCTTTCCCTTTGTCCTTAAGAAAAAATAATTTGAGGGGTTTATCCAGATTCTTCCCCATAATTTTGTGTTCTCCTTGATACTACCTCTGTACCGTTCTTCTATAAACTATGCAGTCCTAGTTGGGAGCTAGAAAAGTTGAGGAAAAATAATTTGCATAGCTTATTTTCCCAGAGCTGGAGAATATATGTATTTACACATAGTCATGTGTGCATACATGTATGTATGTGTGTATAGTGTGTGCCTCTGACCAGTTCTGGCTCTCTTTATTAGGTACTGGTAGGGCTTATGAGTTGTATCAAGGCAAAACAGTTCGGTTTTGGTCTTGGTTCTTAAGATGTCGTTTGTGTTAGCAAAGGACTAGCAGCACTGAATGTGAATGTGATTGTGGTAAGCCTTTGTGTAACTCTAAGGGGGATGTCTTGATATATCGAAAGCAGATCGGTTGGTAAGTTCTCAGTTTGCTGAGCTCTCCTGCTCTCTGTGTTCTCTAGTGTCCAGGGCAGGCTGCTAGAGAGGAGGGGACCGTGCATGTTTTCCATGGCTGCTCCAAAGCCAGCAGACAGACATTTTTAATTTTGCTGCTAATCCCGCCCCCCCCCTTTTTTTTTTTTTTTTTTTGCTAATCTTCTGTTCTGTTTTTTTACTGCAGCAAGCGAAAATGAAATCCCATTCACTGGAACACAGGAGTCAGGAGCAACCTTTGTTACAGCCCAAACAGGTATGGTACGGCTAGCAGGGCTCTGAATCTGGCTTGGTGCTCACACCTCTATATGCAAGGACATTAGAAAGCTCTGTGGATCCAGGCGGCTCTGTAAGGAGGAATGGCAGCCTAGACCCTGTTAGGGATGCTCAGCTTAGGGGCTTACTGTATGAAGATGGGACAGGGGCTGGAGGGTTTATATGTGAATGGCTGTGCTTGCACAAATTCAGGTTAGATTCATGAGTCTGGCCAGTATCAGAGAGCGTCTCCCAAATTACAGAAAATAGAGCTGGAATGGATCTCTAGAGTCATCTAAGTTCAAGGATCCAACAAAGAGAATTTAATGTCACATTCTAAGTCATGCGCTGAGCTAAGTCTGAGTGAGTGATTGTATGACCTATGGCTATGATTGCATGCAACCTGTGGGTCGCGGGAGTTAATTCTCAGGCATCCTGAAGGATCTTTGTAATACTGAAAAGAAACAGTCGGCAGAAATTAAAGAAAAGCTGTTAATCTCTCCCCCACCCCCATCCCAGTGGCAGCACCAGCCATCTGTCAAGTTGGAAGCAGGCAGGAACAGGTTTGCTGCTGATCTTTGGCTCATTCCTGCGTGTTTCTGAAGGGATTTTCTGTGGAGATGTTTCACTTCCTACCCCTTTTCCTTTTAAAACTCTTGTTTCAGGACATATTGGGGATTCTCCCAGTGGGGAGCCCACTGACATCCAGCATCTCCTCCAGTATCACCTCCAGTCTGGCTGCAACACCACCCAGTCCTGCTGGCACCAGCAGCATTCCAGGCATGAATGCCAATGCCCTTCCTTTCTACCCAACCAGTGACACCGTTGAGTCTGTCATAGGTAACTTTGCCTTTTTTACTTACACTAACAGGGCTTCCTCAGATGTGCATCTCCAGGTATGAGAAATGGAATAGCCTGGATGTTGGAGTGAACTCCAGCTTGTCGTGTGTGTCAGTGTTGGCAGGTTCTTGAAGCTGTAGGCTCGCTTATTCTGTGACTCTAGCCTATCTGACAGTTTCTGTGGGTCATTATGGATGAAATTAACCCAAGAGGGCCAACAGAAGGCCTGTGTGCTGCTTATTTTGAATTCATATGGTCAAATGGTGTAAAGAGCCTTAGGTTTAGGTTTGTCAAAATGACAAAGAGGGTTTGGAGCAGGCAGGAAATCACTGAGGTGTTTTCCACAGCTACAGACTTTTATATTGCAAGTGACAATTTCATAGTAAGGACTATCACCAGGTAGCTTGCAAGGACTTGCCCTTCACAGGGTATGGGACAGAGGCTGTGAGAAAAAGGAGAACAGGAGATTCTGTAGTGAAGAATCACTCCTTTTAGATAGGTACAATTTTTTGGTAACTTGTTTTATGATCTAACATTTGAGGTGAAGTCATTACATTGCTTAAAAATAATAATAGCAATGAGTGGGCCTATGTGGGATGAAGTTATATTGATCAAGGTTAGCGATGAGGCACGTTCAAATAGATATAACGTTTGCAGGCATTGCATAAGCTTTCTTTACTTTACTTTATTTTGCCTTTGGACCTCAGAGCTGATTATTTTTTGCAGTGTTCCCTTCTGCTGGTATTCCTTTCCCAAGTGGCCCTCGGGATCTAGACGTGTCATAAACTAGTGTTCTCACATATTATGGACAGGCTCAGAAGAGCAGTTTGGGGAAGATTTGTGGGGATTGCTGTTATTTCATCAATTTTTTGTTTATGTGCAACACTTGGGAATACCTTGAGACAAAACCTTGGGAAATTGGATCAGGCAAAAGAACCTGAACTGAAAAGCTGCCCATGACACTTCTGCCAAATCATTTAAGAGCAGCGTTGGACAGGACGGCAAGTAGGGCTGTGCAGACTGACAGATAGAGAGCGAAGGCTCCCCTGCATGTAGGCTCTTTGGGCCATCCTATCTCTTGAAGTTGTTGGTCCTTTATAACATAATTGGTACCTCTGTGTCTGGCAGAGTCTGCCTTGGATGACCTGGACCTGAATGAATTCGGAGTGGCTGCCCTGGAGAAGACATTTGACAGCAGCACAGTGCCCCACACAAGTGGCATCATGATAGGTACATGAAAGCAACAGAGCTTTCTTTATCTTCTGCCAAGCAGTGTTGCCCAGTCACCTAAGCAGAGCCAGCCCAGTAGAGCTCTAAAACCAGGCCCAAAATAAACTTGACTAGTTAAAACAGCAGTTATAACAAACTCTGGCAACCACTGAGCATCTTACGAGCGCAAGCTTGTCCTTGCTGACCAGCAGAGCTGAGTTCTTGCCATTGGGCCCAGATGTCTTGGGGATGTTTCTTGAGACTGAATGGGAATTGTCTGATTTCTTGGGTTTTCCAGTGTGTAAGTAGAATCTAGAAGGCATCTGATGGCTTTAGGAACAGACCAAAGTATAACAATTTGCATTGTAAGCAGAAAAGTCTCCCTAACGGTAACAGGAAACTCACTGACCTGGTAATGCTATTCATCTGTCACAGAGCGTCATCACGGTCTGCTGATTTGATTCCTATGTTTGTCTCATCTTTAACATGTAGAGGTTAGGCTAAGGCCTCTTTTACCTGTCTTGTGACTGTCCAGGGGAAAAATGGAGTGTCTCGTAGCTTTTTGGACGTGGCTGTAGTTTCTGGCTACCCTTGCTCTGTAAGACAGGTTTTGAATGGGAGCTAACACTGGTTGTCTTAGTGGTTGCCAAGGGAACTGTTGCTCGAAATTGTATTCGGTGTGAAAGGTGTCCTGTGGAAGGAGCACTAAAGAACAGCACTTCCGTTTCCCTGCCAAAGATCAACAACCTCATCAGAGAGTTTACTGTGTGTTTATGCTGATAGCCCAGCTTCTGCCACTGTCTATCTGCAGCGGGAAAAGCAACGTGGCCAATCTGGTTCCTCCAGGTCTGGATGTTACCTGGTAGTCTAAGAAGAGAGATCAAAAGAGTGGAGAGCGGGGCTGAGCTATCCCTCAGTCTGTACGTGGCAGGCAGACTGACCCCTTGTGTAAGGGAAGTGTGATGTCTTTGGAGGTTGTGTGTGGTGTTTTTTTATTGCTGGTAGATCTAAGATTTCAAGTATGTCTAAAGCTAGTCACTGGCTTTTGGTAGTTCAGGTCATGACCCAGCACGATAGTCTCTTTCACTACAGGTTATTTGGAGGTTATAGGCAGGGGAGGATGTTTTAGAAGTGAAATTTGCATTACAAAGTCATTCACAAGATATCAAGATGTTCGTCTTCTCCAGACAGTTAGGGACCGAACTCTGCTCGGGAAGCCTCTCGTTGCTTTGGCCAATAAACAAGTAGGCCATTGAAATCTGGAGGGTCTTTTCACCTGTGGCTAATGGGATGGCAGCTTCAGTGCTCCTTCTAAAGGCTGAAAGGGGGGTGAAACGTAAAAGAGAAGTGGAGGGAATCCCCAGGGGCTTAGGGAGGAGAGAGGGAAGCTAACACCTCCTGCTCTCAGCTCCTGTGCTGTGCTCTGGCCCATGCTTCATGGTCATACATAGCCATCCTCTCTGTGTGTTCTTTGTCCAGGTGGGAGTTTGCTGCAAAGTTCTGCTCCTGTAAATATCCCCGGGTCCCTTGGAAGCTCTGCCTCCTTTCACTCTGCCTCTCCTTCTCCACCGGTCAGCCTCTCATCGCATTTCCTCCATCAGCCCCAGGGACACTTAAGCCAATCAGAAAACACGTTCCTGGGGACATCAGCTTCTCATGGATCATTAGGTAAATGCACAGTGTGTGTGTCCCATGTACATGCCTGTCTGTGCCATGTAAGTATTTTCTTTCAAGTTAGCTTTAATTTTAATGTATTATTTCACTGCTGCCATTTATATCTCTTTTTTCCTGTGAGAACAGCAACAGTACTAGAAGCTGCTTATCAAAAATCAGTTAACACCCTGTGAGCAAGGGAGCAATTCCCTCTGCTCTCTCCTTTTTCTAGGCTGAGGAAAAAGTGACAGATAGGTTGTGAATTGCTCTGATAATGGCTTTTAGGGAAAAGAGCTCAGCCCTTTTCTGTTACCAGCAGTGTGCTGAGATTTTGCTTTACTTAATACTCAGAGTTGGGTCGTCAGCTTGGCCTAGTTGAGGTGGGGATTGTAGCGTGCCTTTGGGAATGCTTATAGGGTAGATTGGCCTCTGGGAGCTTGAGAACAGACTTGGATCACTGTAGTTTTTCCCCCGTTCGGTGCCCTGCACGGATTGTTTTGCAGCGTGGACTCAGCAAAAAGTCACAGTTCTCCAACTACGTCCCCTTTTCCCCCTTCTTTCCCGTTTGAGGAACTGTTTCCTCTACAAGGGACTGTAAAGCGAAGGGAAACTGATATGGAGCTTCCTCAGTACAGACCAGGCAGAACTGGGAGCTGAGGCACCAGATCTGTTTTATTATCAAGATATGAGGTTACATTGAGAAATAAAACTGATTTCTGCTGAAACCTGCTGATTTCTGTATGAGTAGCAGTAAATGTTAGTTCTTTCTCTTGATACTAGAAGTAAATGCTTCTTCAGATTTCAGATATGCTTTAATCTGTAATACTCAGCTTAACACAATAAAATGATTACATGCTTCTGTAACCTATTGTTCCCTGCGCTCATCTATGTAACTGTATCCCTTGTTTGCACAGGACAAAACCATGCTTTACAACTGCTATTTTTTTGGCTTTAGCAGCTTTTACAAGCACAGTAATAAGAAACGAGACATCAGAAGACCTCTCTGCTATTAATTAGTGTTGAGGCTGACTGTTCATCCCAGTTTCAGTAAGAAAAGGAAAACTTCTTAAAAAGGCTTGTTTTAATTTCAGACGAAACAAGTTGTTAAGCAGTTTACTACTTCTGGCCTGAGAAGCCATTTGCCTCAGAGTTTATTTACAGACAGAGTCAGTTTGGCTGCTCTAAGATGAGTTTCTAACTACATTAGGCTAATTTGGTTTATCGAATGCAACTGGGTTTAGGAATGTCTGCACCCAGTCGTTAATAACTCTTTAAATGAAAATGACTCCTCTGTTAAACTGGTGTGTTTCTGTGTGCAGAAGAGTCTGGATCTGTACCTCTGGATATGAGCTTTTCCTCTCGGTTATCCCTCAAGTACAGGCTATGTATGCTTATTTTGGGTAAACACATGTTTTCTTGTTTAAAAGAGCACATGCCTTGAGTTCTGTGGAAAAAATAGGCAGTTTTGCTTACAACAGGTTTTCTACTGCTTTTTCTCATAAGCCTTGAACTTGATCCTGAACGGGAAAATGATGTGAACACGCTGAAATGGGAAAGGGGTTGGTTAGGCTTCCTCCAGCCCCAGTCACTAGCTTTATGCTGAGACTCAGCAGGGAATGAAGCTGGTATATAGGAGCTCTGCCTCCACTTCTTTACAAACAGGATTTTCCAGTTAGTTCTGGTGTGTGTGTGTTTTTTTTTACGTATGCAAACAGCAGTTGACGTTGGAGCACTTTAGTCTGGCTCTTTGGGAAGTGAGACTCAAAAAGGACCCAGCTGAAGAGACAAAAGCAGAAGTGATGTAAAGGCCCAACACTAGCGTAATGTGAGAGGAAACCCTACCTGAGTTGGCCACGTGAGCCAAAAACCACTCTGTTCACCAACAGTAATGTCTCTGCTGCACAGAAGGATGGGAAGGTAGTAAGCAGTTCAAAGACATTCTCATATGAGAAGGGGGGTTTGAGTTTAGTCAAATCAGCTGTAACATAGATGCTTCTAAGAACCAACCTGATGCAAAAGTTACCTCTGCTGAGTTTCTTGAGGCCTAAAGGTGTGAAACTTGCCCTAGGAAGTCTCCCTGTGATGGACTCCTGGGTCCTGGGGATGGAAGTGATTCTCTTTCCTAAATGCACACGTTGAATCCTGGATTTCACAGGGGTAGGGAGGAAATGGGGAACTGCCAGCGCCTTTGACATAACCCTCTCTATTTCCCTGTGAAACAGGTTTAAATGGGATGAACAGCAGCATATGGGAACACTTTGCTTCGGGGAGTTTTTCGCCCAGTACCTCACCTGCATTTCTGTCAGGTCCAGGTGCTGCGGAGCTGGCACGGCTACGACAAGAACTGGATGAAGCCAACAGCACAATAAAGCAGTGGGAAGAATCTTGGAAACAAGCCAAGCAGGTACCTGGGCAACTCCTAGGAGGAGGGATTGGGGAGGGTAAAGCAATGGGAGGGTGTCAGTCTTTAAAACAGGAGGCTTTCCAGATGTTGAGGTGATGTGAAGGGCCATAGGTTTTATAAACAGATTCTCTTAAGCATTCTTGTTCATTCCTACCCTTGGGGAAGAGAGAGCGAATCGATGTGCCTGACGTTCAGATGCTGGAAGTGTAAGGCCAGGTGTCCTAACAGCTGCTCTGAAGTGCTTGAGAGTCTCTTAGACCTGGTGACTGACTTAAATCCGTGACAACTTACCAGTATGCAAAGTTCATTCCCTTTAACTGAGTGATCCAAATTTGCAGAACTGCAGTTCCACTTGGGTAGGTTATTCAAGACGAGCAGTGTTTTGAAGAAAAGGCTGTTTCGGAATTCAGGGACAGGGCATATAGGACAGAATACCTTCCTGCTAAGGAGTGTGTGGAAATGCGTGTTTTTTGCCTAGGATGTTCTGTTTGATGCCGACCAAGTTTTCAAACTGATTCTTCTTTTACCCTCTTTGCTGGAACTTGTAGGCCTGTGATGCATGGAAAAAGGAGGCAGAGGAAGCAAATGATCGCGCCAACACAGCTAACATGGAATGTGAACTGGCCCGGGAGCAGAGGGAAGCCTTGGAGCTGCAAGTGAAGAAACTGCAGGAGGAGCTGGAGAGGATCCATGCAGGCCAGGACCCTCAATTTCTGCGCTCTTTTTCTGACCTGGAAACCCTCTCGCTCTCTTCACTTTATACGCTTCAGAAACAGCTGCGGGCAAACCTGGAGAAAGTTGATAAGGTGAGTGCTGAGGATCACGGGGTGGGACCTTGTTGCTTCTGCTCCCATAGATAACAGACCCCCTTTTTTATATGCATTTTATATTTGTATTATTTTTATTTATATATATAAAGCATGTATGAACACACACACATGTATGGCGGGGGCGGTGTGTGTGTGTATGCTTGTGTGCACGTCCATATAAATAAAATGGACAGGCAGCTGCAAGTCCTTCCCCTGCTGCCTCTTCCCTGTTCCCCAGACTATGTAGGGGAGCTCCCCCAAACAGGATGGGAGGCCTTTTTGCTTTGTGACTCTGACGCTTATGTTTCACCCTGTCCCCCTCTCTTGCAGGCAGTATTTCAGATGCAGTCGATGAAATGCCTTAAGTGTCAGGAAGAGAACCGGGTGGTGTTGCCGTGCCAACATGCTGTGCTGTGTGAAACGTGCGCTGAGGAGGGTGAATGCCCCATCTGCCATCCTAACAGGCCCCATTCTCTCCAGTCGTGACCTTCCAAGGACACTGGGTCTAATCATATCATATAGAACTTTTTAACTTTATACATACGTACATATATATGTATGTGTATATATATATATGTATGTGTAGATATATATGTATATATGAGTGTGTGTATGTGCATGTTTGTGTATGTATATATGTGCACACACACACACACGCACATACACACATAAAACAAATTAGTTGCAGAGCACTTTTTAATATTTTACAACCCGCATCTAAACTGCCCCTCACCCATGCCCCACTAATTCTAACTCTTGAGGAACTTTGAGAGCTGTTTTTAATACAGATCAAAGGGCCATTTGCAGAGAGTCTGTGTTTCTCCTCTTTTCTATTTAGGTGATAACAAATTTTTGACTATTTCCAGAAGGATTTAGAGTGGGCGAGAGGAGCTTCCATGTGCTTTCCAGAGGAAGAGTTGAGATCACAGGGAAGAATGAGGTGGATTGAAGTGACTCGTTTGCGTCTTCAGTCTCCTTGCTCTTTCACTGACCCAGCGTGGTTAAAGCTGTCCTCTCTGATGGAAGCCCCACTGGGCCCTTGCCCAGTGGGGCTCACATTGCCAACCTCTGAATGTACAGCAACTTTGTCTGTTGTTTAAACAGCAAAGTTTACTTTTTAAAAGTTTTTTTTTTACACACACTTTGTATATTTGTATGAAAACAAGAAAAGGGGAAAAAAAAAATCTATCAGAACTAGAGCAAGCCAGGCCTAACAATTCAGTGACGTGTGTTCATTGCTGATACAGCTGGCATGTTCCAGGTTTGAGCAGCCTTAGAAGTATTGCCCTTGTGTCAACTAAAGCCTTGTATGAAAGGAATGTGGATGCATAGGTTTGTTCTCTCCAGCACCCCCATATCTGGTGGCTGTCTAGAGACTTTTTACTGCTTCAGACCAGATTACAGTTTTCTTTTAGCCACAGGGACCTGTTTCATAGTCACTGCTGAAATGCATGAAACAGTTCCAGGTAGTCTGAGGACGCTTTAGTTGAACAGACTTGATGTCAGCACCTCAAGGATGGCTTGCAGACAAGGGGGTCCAGAAGCCCTCATGCTAGTGACAGTGTATACCAGCGGTGTCTGAAAAATGCTCAGCATGGAACAAACTATGTTTGTTCTGATAAATCTATTCTTGCTTGGAACTGGAGGAGAGTGTAAATTCCTTGCCTTGTAATGCTCCTCGCTTTGACATTAAAACATGACTCTCATTAACGCTTTTGACTTAGAAACACAGCCACTGTTCTTATGTATATAAGTGTTATTGATGGGAAAATCTTAAAGCTAATTGATCCAATCATGTCTTGTGGCAGTGTTTCATATGTTACTTGGCTCCTGAGAAAAGAGAACTAGAAAAGACGAGAACTTTCATTTCAAATGCTCGTTAGAAATCTGTGACTCATCAGCCTCACCTGCCAGTTTGTCCAGGTGCTGGTGAGTTGGTAGTAGTGTGGCCCTGTTGTAGAGGGCTAGACGCTCAACTCCAGGGCTATCTGCCGCCAGGGATGCCAACCTCATCACAGCAGAGAGGAGAGAAGTGGCTCAAAGCAGAACAAGCTTCCTTCTCCACCATGCAAGAGAAATATTGCAGGGTCCTCCAGCCCTGCTTTCTCCTAAGCACGGGGCTTTCCACCACCCTTGTGCAGCTCCTGCTGGCGTCTCTGACCTGCTAAGTGTGCTCTGGGCCTCTGTCCCTAAGCACCACCTGCAGAGGAGCTCAGGGACTTTCTCCTCACCAGGATCCTCCTCTTAATTGTCCACAACGAATTTCCTACCTTAGATCATTTCAGAAAGGCAAAGAAGAAGGGAATCCCTTAGACTAGTCCTATACCAGCCGTACCTTGTCCAGTGCAGTTCCTCTCCAGGGAAAAGAAATGCCACCAGCTTAGACCTGTCTGGTAACTGAGCTTTCCTGTGACTTTCTTCACCAGCATGTCCCTTGACTTTTTACATCAGGTGGATTGCAATAACCTGCTGGGATCTCAACAAAAAGGCCACTCCTGTGACTAAATACCATTTTTGCACAGGCAGCGTCCTGTGCAAACCCTTTCCTGACCTGGAAAAAGCACTGGAACCTCCAGCTGCCTGCTGTTGTTGTAGGAACAACTGAACTATTACCAGAGTCTTTCAGAAAGCTTCATATTTAATGCAAAGACATAATTAGACTTGCTTCCATAATTCTACCTTTCCTTTACATGGAAGGGGTTATATGCATTCCCAGATGATCTCTTAAGTGCAGCTCTGTGTAGTTCTTTTTTTATGTTTTTCCCGTTAACTTGTTTTTGGTTTTTTTGGTAAAAATGCTTTTTTTTTTCCATGTGTATTTTATTGTAACTAGCATCAGTTTTTCTAATTTTTTTTTTTAAGGAGAGACACTGTTGGGTGATTATTGTGGCTATGTTGTTTGGTTATAGCCTTTGAATGTCTGTGCCATGAGGCAGCACATCTGCCTCAATCTGATCTTAAGGAAAGACCTTTTATTAAAATATGTGAACATTTCTTTTTTAGAAACAAAAAAGGAAGGAAAAAAAAAAAGAAAAAGGGGGGAGGAGGAAAAAAACCCACTGAAGGTAAAATTTACTAAAACACTTTTGTAACTAACTTAAATCATAGGAAATAAACTCTTGAATCAGATCTATAATATTTATAAGAACCGGAGCTCATCAGCCTCTTTGGCTATTGGTTTGTAACACTTCCCCCCCACCCCATTAGCCTTGTGGTTTATTTGCTCTCCTCCCTCTCTGTGCCGTTGGTCATGATGACACTGTCTTTGTGCAACCCTTTTTGCCAGAACTGTCTGGCACCTGGCTCCTGTGGGGGTTCTTCACATCCTCCCTCCTTCTCCTAAGATGAAACTTGTCCACTGGTCCATCACTCTGTCTCAATGTGACGTTCAAGAGTGATGCAGCTCCGTGGGGTCATAAGGGGGACACGTTCCCCACTTTCCAAGGGAGCGTACTGCTTAGCCAGGGAGGTAAAGGAAAATTCCAAGCCAGAGGAAAGCTTGATTTTTTTTTTTCCCCCCCCTTTTGAATTAAACAAAATTTCTCTGTTTTAAAGCTTATACTGAAGGACCAAAGAATTCAAAACTTCCCTCATTATGGCCCTTAAATTTTAACTCTCCTTTGCCACACCGCACACCTGGCCCTGCAGTCCCCAGGAATTGGCACGAGCCCTGGGCTGGCGCGTCCCCTCCCCTTGCCTCCATCCCAAGGTATCCCAGTGCTCTCTTTGCACAAGCACAGAGACTGTTTCTCTCTTTCCTCTGGTTCTTTACGAAACACTTTAATTTAGGTATCTATGAATTTTTGTTTGCTGCTTTTAAAAAAAAAAAAATCTGAAATGTGAATTTTTTTCTTAGGCATCCAAGGGAAGGGAGAACTTGATCTTTGCATCTTTTGTGAAACTTTTGGGGGCCACTTCTGTGACAGATTTTCTTACTAGAGTGAGATGAGAGCCAGGGGAAAAGACAAAATTTCTGACCGACTCCAGCAATTGCTGCTGCGTGCCTCAGGCAGGAAGGATTAACAGTCATCACCGCACTGCCTTTGAGGCTTAGGAGTCTGGTCAGCTTGTGTGTGGTGTAAAAAGGGTCTTGTTAAAAATAAATCTGGTGCTAATGTGTACAGCCCCTCTAATGTACTGTCGAGCTTCCTCCTGAAGCAGGAAACTCCCTTTTACAGGACATGAAGTAATACACCAGAACTAAGGGGACTTTTTTGGCTGAGTCACACTTCAAAACTAAGTTTTGCTTCACAAGATGGTTGCGTGAACCCAGCATGTCTGGCCTCTGTCCGTTCCTGCCCTGTCACATAGACTCCCCAACTCCTGACTCCATAATGACACTTTTCCTCCCCAAATTTTTGGAAGCAGTGGAAGTGTTGACCTCTATGACTAATAGTGTAGTTTGGAGGTTCCTGAGCTGAGATTTGGGAGAAGGGAGTCTTGAGTGGAGTTGTGAAACCACAGTACTCTTAAAGGTCAATACACTTTATTATGGAAAAACAAAATATATGAGCAGATGGCTTAAGGCAATGATATCCTAGCTAGCTAGATATCAAAAAGCAAAGACAGAGCTGTAGAGAAGAGCCAGGAAAGAATTGGGGTACGTTTGGCGTTTGCATCGCTTTGGGAAGCTGGGACCACCTTTAGATCATCTCCGGACGTAGCTGCCGTAGGCAAATGCCAGCTGTGGCAGAGATGCACGCGGCACAGGTGGGACCAGGGGAGAGTCTCAGAGCTGGAGCACGTTTCCCTTGAACGGTCCCCCCGCAAAGGGGTCGCTGCAGCCGTTCCCCTGTTGAAGGGTTTTTAACTTTTGTACATCTCTGAAGCTGAACCTGAGCCACTAGCAAGGCTTGTACAGCTGAGACAATGAAGAGATTTCCTTACCGTGTGAGGAAGCCTGGAGTGCTGAATGGACTCAGTAATTTGTTCGACCAGCCTCCCTATCTGCTTTTTCTCCTTTTCCCCCATCTGAGGAGGAAGAATATTACCAGTGTTTTCCTCCAGAATTGTAATAATCCTTGGAGTGACAGCCAACAGAAAACTAGATGTTACTGATGAAAAAAAGCAACAACAAGAAGTATTTCAAAAGTGAAGTATTCCTGCAGACGAGTGACTGCATTGGAGAGATTTCTGGGGCTTCCCCACTCTGTAGCTTCCACTGTTAAAACAAAATAAATGCAGTATACGTTAAAAAATAATAATACACACTGCAGTATTTCTAGGGGGAATTCGTGCCCAGTATCTTCCCTGCTTTCCCCAGGAGAAAGGGCACAGGGCAGAAGCGCCCCTAGTCGGTGTAGAAGTTGGCAGAATGGTAATCGGTGGTGTGTAAAACGTGTTGTTGATTCCATGTATAGAACTGTGATTTCAGCTGTCGTTCTCTCTCGTATTCTGTAAATATGTGTTTTGGCTGTCGGAAACCTGGTTTAGACTCTTTTCTTGGCAGAGTGAATTTGCATGTGGGGCTGAAGAGAACTCAATCTGTGTCACAATTTGCAAGGGCAGGATGGATTTTTTTTTTAGAGGACAATAAATTTTTATTTTTTTGCTAAGAAAAAGAAAACAAAAAAATAAAGCTGTGTGTGTGTGTGTGTGTGCGTGC